GGGGGGGGGGGGCATCATTGTACAGAGTAGGAACGGATTGGCTACCGCTCTTTTGCTCGGTGTTGCACATGCGGCGATCAAGCCGCACACACGCACACATCGAGAAGAGAAAAAGGAGGAGGGGCAAGCCCTCGAATGCTAGCGGATGGAGAGAATAGGATGGAACGCAAGAAAACAAGCTTAGACCGAGGTGAGGGGAGCGGGCTCCTTGAACTCGGTGTTGCGTGCCTTGACACCGGCGTCCTCGGCGCCAGCGATGGCAGCACCGCCGTGAACCTCGAGCAGCTTGTTCAGGTCGTCCTTGGGCGCCTTGAGCACCTTGACCTTGCGCACGTAGACGTCCTTGAGGGGGAAGATGCCCTGGGTGGCCTTCTCCACCTCGCGGCCAATCACCTCGGGGATGAGCTTGGCGACAAACTCGCGCAGGTCGCACGAGTTGGCCTCGCGCTGCACAATCTCGAACATCTTCTGGCGGATGGCGCGGATGTGCGACGACTTGGCGTACGTGTTCTTCTTGACCTGGTTGGCGCGCTTCTTGGTGAAGGCGATCACAAAGACGCGGAGCAGGTAGCCGTCGGTGGTCTTGACGTCCTGGTGCGCCTCAATGAGCGACTGCCACTTGCGCACGAGCGAGCGCAGCTTGTCCGAGGTGAAGTCCATGCCGTAGAAGTTGGTGAGGCAGGTGCGGCCCTGGATGCCGTCGACCTTCAGCTTGAACTTGCGGTACGCCTGCTCGTCGTCCTTGTTGAGGTCGGCGAGCGAAGCCTCGACAATGCGGCCCTTGAGCGAGTCATCGGCGTTCTTGAGACCCTGCGAACGGTTGACAAAGGTCTTGCCAACGTTGCGGTTCTCGAAGAAGGTCGGGGCCTTGATGTCGTACCAGTCCTTGCGGGTGAAGGGGTCAACAGCCCTCTTCTTGTTACCCTTGCCCTTGGAGAGCTTCTTGTTCTTGCCGACAGCTGTCGAAAAGCAATTACGTACGTGATTGGGGGAAGGTCAGCATTCGGTCGTATACACAGTCGGACGCGAGCGCGGTGTTGCAACACAAGAATGCATCGACGAGGCAGCACGCGACAGCCGGCTGTCACACAGTGACTGGAAGCGCCATGAGAGTGGACGTGTGGCGTTTACGGTGGTGGGTTGATCGATCGTTGTCGTTGGCGCGGATCGACAGATTCATGGGTTGGCGGCGGCGGAACTACTTTGATGAGACATTCAGAGGCGAGTCGTGGCCTCCACGTGATGATGCCGGCTGCCGTTAGGCGATGAATGTCACGAGCCGACTGAATGTGCAGAGGCTTTTGGGTGCGCTGCGTGAGGCACCTTGGGACCATGCATGCGATAGCAAAGGCATCGAGTCGTTGCAGCGAAGCAGAAGGGGCGATGCTTCCGAGACAATGTAGCCGGCGAGGCGGCGCAAGAATGGTGGAGATACAGCGAGACTTTAATCGGCAACAAGCGGGTCGACCTTCCCCTTTGTGAGATGTAAAGGTTGTCGGTCGAATAGCCAGGTAACAATGGGCATCGAGAGCGCCGCAGAGTCGTCTGTCGTGCTCATGGGCATCCTCGATGGTTCGTGCTGGTCATCATGTCGATGTCTAATGTGGTTGTCGAGCGTGCTGGCAATTGCGAAATAACCTTCGCGTAATCTACGATGCTTCCCATGTGGTCGGCGAGGCTGTCGTATGCGTGTGTGTGCTGTCGTCGATGCATTGATTCTGTGTGTGTGCGGCGCTGTGTTGCTTGCGGTGATCACTTACCCATGATGAATCGATATGTCTTGAAGAAGGATGGATCGGTGAGGGAACGGACGATGTCAAGCTCGAGACACGCCCTCAACCTCGACCCGACTCGAGCGGCTCACCTGCCACTCTGCCCTTGGCTGCCGCTGCCAGGCTGTGAGGCTGCCTTGGCTCACTCTCTTTCCGAAGAGGCTTTCTTCGATTCGCCTTGTAGCTGCGCTCCGCTGCGCTGCCCCTCGTCTGGCTTCGACGCCCGTCCCAGCCGCCCGCTGTCCACAGCCCTTCGCCTTCACTGCCAACTGTGGGCCAGCGTCCGATACAGGGGCGGGAACAAAGTTGAGGCAGCAGGCGGCTTTCCCGCGCGCAATGTTGAAATTTCAACGTGACCGCCTCACCTCGGCCGAGCTTTGCACAGTCACGTGAGCAGTTTTGAATACCAAACCGTGAATTTCTGAATTGACGCGGATTCGCCCAAGCAACTCAGAATTCAAGTCGCCCTCCAAAGTCGTCGCGGCCGCAAGAAGAAACTCACGATTTCGGCAGCAGACTGCGATGCGTGGGCCCAAGGCGGTCGCTGAGCGAGCCACAACGAGGGCTGTGTGGCCAGGCGAGAAAGTCGAGGAGAGTGCGACTGGCAAGCGCTCCTGGCGGGTCTGGGTCGGCACCAAGAGGAGTGAGAGAGGCGAGGGTCGAGCTGGCGTGGGATTTGGGCTACGGTTGCAATCTCGGGCAGCACAGCGCGATGTGACGGTTGGAGCTGGCCAAGCTGGCCAAGCTGGCCGAGCCTCTCAGTCCGGCCGGCGCTCGACGCCGTCGAGAGGTGGTCACTTCCACCTTGGTCTCTCTAGCCGTCACGATACCTTTCTCCACCAGTCATCACCCGGTGTTCCATCCTCAAGGTAAGTGGTGCATCGACGACTCTTGTCGCACACATCGTCATCGCAATTGCAGCTCAGGAATATCGCGCGCACCGACATCGACGCCGCTCCAGCACCGACCCCATCGACCAAAAACGACTTTAGTGGAAGCACCTCCGCAGAACAGCAACCATCGCATTCCGGTATTTATCAATCACGCACGCCTGCACGCATATGCACCGACATCATCTCATCCAGTACCGCTTCGCTGCAATCGCAGCCGCTATGCTGTTCGTCCCCATGTCGCTGCGACGGTCCGCTGCAGAAGAGACACACGACTGGCACCAGCATATCGTCACGACGCCGTGTAGGGAAGCTGCAGCTGCAACACCGCCTCAGCATAAGCATACGCATACGCATAGTGCCCGTGCTGTTCGTGTCGGTCCGATATAGCTCCGGACGATGAAACATGTCGGCTCCGACAACCAACTGCGACCATGCTCCACTCCCGGTCTCACATAGCCCGGACACGGCGTGGCATCCGTTCTCGACTGCAAGCTGCAGGAGCATTATGTCTGTGCCGTATTCAGTGCAGCATTTCAGGCAGTCCGAGGTCGTCACGTTCATCCCGCACCTCCGACCTCCGCCAGTTAGAGCGACCTTCAACATGATCATGCGATGCTTGCGGCGGCAGACCGACACACATCTGCTCCCCTCCCTCTCGAACAAGGCTCGACTTTGCCTGTCACCACCAGCACCGCCTCGCGATGACGATGTGGCGTGACGTCTCTTCTACATGTCCAAGGACCCAGCCGACTGACTCTTGATCCACTTTTCGCATCCACCACCATCCAGACTCCGTCCTCACATAGTCACCATGGCTTCCGTCCAGCAGAAGATCTTCCGCACGGCTAACGCCCCCACCGGCCCCGCCGACGAGGTCGAGACCGTTGTCGCTCAGGCTCTCATCGACCTGGAGTCGAACGTTTCGGAGCTCAAGGCCGAGCTCCGCCCCCTCCAGATCTCGTGCGCCAAGGAGATCGAGGTCAAGGGTGGCAAGAAGGCCATCGTCATCTTCGTCCCCATGCCCCAGCTCAAGGCTTTCCACAAGATCCAGCAGCGGTAAGCATCTTTCGTCTCGACACACGGCCACATCATTTTGCAGCAGCCAGCAGTGCCAAAACCAGCAGCCAACAGCCGGTAGGAAGGGGCGAAAAGAAGGTCACGAAGGGCTCGGTCCCACGACGCATCGCACAGCTTGGCGTGCGTCGGAGCAAATAGGGATCGCATTCCAGCGTTGGCAGAGGAGGCAGTGGTGGCAGTTCGGGGAGATGCAAAGCAGTACAGCATGGACTACGAAGCAGGACAGGTCGCCAGACTGGAATCTGGCTCGCATGCCTTGGTGTGGCTGCCGCTGCTTTTACAGATTACATCCGGCGCAAATACTGACCCTTGCTCCGGACGCTCGCTCCTATTTCACAGTCTCACCCGTGAGCTCGAGAAGAAGTTCTCGGACCGCCACGTTGTGTTCGTCGGCCAGCGCCGCATCCTTGGCAAGCCCAGCCGCAAGAACCGTAACCAGCAGCCCCGCCCCCACTCGCGCACGCTGACCGCTGTGCACGAGTCGATCCTCGAGGACCTTGTCTACCCCTCGGAGATCACTGGCAAGCGCACGCGCGTCGCCACCGACGGCAGCCGTCTCGTCAAGTGCTTCCTCGACTCGAAGGACGCCACCTCGCTCGAGTACAAGCTGGACAGCTTCTCGTCGATTTACAAGAAGCTCACCGGCCGTGACGTCAGCTTCCAGTTCTCGTCGGACAACTAAGGTACCGATCCCGCCTTTTTCATCGACTTCAGTCTTCATGGTCACCGTAGACATGTAGCATCACCCTCTTCCCTCCTCACACCAAAACTTTTCCCGGAGCGCGCTGTGCTACTGTGCGAGCAGACACGCTTCCGTGGTTTTCCCTCATGCCATGATGCAGCTGCAGTTGGCGAGCTGTGCTGTGTATGGCAAAGGGCGCTCCTGCGCTCTTCCGTCTCTCTCATTCGAACGTCTTCCTTGCGGAAACGTTGTGTAATTGTTCCCCTCCTCCCTACCACCATCATCGCTATACGCACATGCACACGCCCCCAAAAAATCTCAATTCTTGCTTCTCCAGAACCATAAAGGGCGTTGCTGTGGCTGCATGAATGCACGTTGGCACGTTTGCAGTGTGTGAAGATGACCGCTCGACGGGCCTGGGAAGCGGGTGGCCGCCAAGGCGAGCCGAGCCGAATGAGGAGGGATGTGCGGCGAGGAGCTGTCAAAAAGCCATTCAATTTTCCAGACGCCTAAAAAAGCCGAGGCGAAAAGGCGCAGGAATTGGGCGCTCCACTGTAAAATCACAAGGCGGCCCCACGCGCGATTTCACGAATGAAGCGACGGGCTGCTGTCAGCCGCGCAATCACCAACTCGTCGTGAAATCAGTGCGAAGGAGGAGGATTAGCAACAGGAACAGCATCGGCTTGGATGCCGGCAAGCCCAACTGCTTCTGCTTCTGCAACATCACATTCCCGCCATCCAACGGCCGTGGCTGAGCCGCCTTTGTTTGGCACATCCGCCGCCGCCGCTGTCGTCGTCGCTGCTGCTGCTGCTGCTGCTGCTG